CTGTATGTGTATAGGTCATTGCTGTGCTGTATGTGTATAGAGCAATGTAGTTGAATCCGTATGTGCGTTATCATTAATCGATCATGAAAATGTTAATCATTACCGGCCCTAATAAAAAAGTAAAAAATAAAAAGGCGATAAAGTAAAAATAATAAAACAAATGACATTTTTTTACAAAGTAAATAACAATAGAAACAATGAAAACCAGCCGCGCTGCCCCCATCTGCACGCCAATAAACGCGCAGTGTTTTCAACTGCGATCGTGTGCAAGCGCACGGGCAGGGCTGTATTGCAGCAGTAAAACACTCCAACTGCCCGGCACGACTGGGGTGCCATTAGAAAATAATGGCGCATGCACCAACCCTAAAGGGTAAATTCACTTTCCCAAGTCATTAGGAGAAGTGAATTACCCGCACAAATCTCCCTCCCACTATACTTACCTGTCGGCGACCGGCCCCTCCCCCTCCACCAGTCCAGGTGAACTATCTGTACCTGTTCCATGTATTCTGAATTTCCCTCGCAAATTGCAAGGACTCGTTGGTCAACGCGGTCACCTGACGGCACTGACCAATGAGGAGCGCTTCTTAGCACTGATCAATACAGTTTGGGTTAAAATTATTTTTTTTGTATCAGGACAAGTAGATCGTCATGAGGGACAAGTAGATTGTATTTAAAAATGGGTATTTTATTGTGTTTTGGTGCATTTTTCACTAAGTTTTGGCGTTTGAAAAGGAGCGTGGAGCGCAGAGAGCGCTAATATCGTGCAACATAAAGATTTGCACCTGCCGCCATTTTATTCTCCGGGGTCGCGGCTTTCAGGAAATATCTCGTGTTTGGGGGGTTTTAGGTAATTTTCAGGCCTAAAATGTGGAATATAAACAAGGGTGCAAAAAACGAGAGAAAGGTCTCGGTCATGAAGGGGTTAGAGGGACAGAATGTTCTAACCCTAAGGTGGGAGGAGCCGGGTTTACAGAAGGCGGGAGGAGCCGGATTTATTGCAGGTGGGAGGAGCCGCGTTTATGGTGGGTCCACATCAGAGCGCACTCACACAGTGTACACAACTTACCTCCTCCGAGCTCCCTCCACCTTCCTTGCTGCTTTTCACTGGCGTTCTCCCCACAGCCGGCTTCACTGGATCCTACAAAATAGAAACCGCCTGAAATAGG